CTCCTCTTGACTGAAATTCTGAATCTTCTAGAATTTTTGTTCCCACTCTCCAGTTGGATGTCAACTGCTATTTTCTCACTTCTGGAGTCTGGCTTGTTCTGACTTCTGGGAGCCTTAAAGAGTTTTAAATTTTTCAGCTAATCTGACTCCAAACAATTCCTTGGGCTCCACAATGTCTCTGGATTGATGATAGTCCAAGGATTGCTTTTGTGGGATACCAGAAGTCACAGAGTGAAGTGGACTCCTTAATACCTGGGGGCAGTCATTCCAGATTCCTCAGGCTCATTGCAGATGGCCCCAAAGGAGTCCTAGACTGGGAAGACTCAAATAGTCCTGGACCTGCTATCAGAAAGGCTCAAAATCTTGAGGCTGCTCTATCCTCTTAATTAGAATGATGCTTCGCTTGGCTGGATTCCTATTCTAGACAATGGACCCAACCATGCTGATCTTGGGGCAGCAGGTGAGAAGAGAGAAAATAGGTGGCCTTGGTCTCACATCAGCCTTCTGGGGAATGCCTTTGTAGGTAACTTGAAGTAATCAAGTTACTGGTCTCTCTGGGGAGTGCTGATGAGTTGACTGTAATTTTTATTTTGATGATGACATTGTCTGGACCTAAATCAACTCAGTTCTCACAAACTATTAGATTTGATACTTTTGATGACTGAGGGAGAAGAGAATGGAAAACACCATAGTTTTTGGCTAGCTGAAGGGGAGAGAGAAGTCTGGTACTTTTTAAAAGGAAAAATAATCATTAAAATAATTTAAAATTATTAATCCACTAAGAATCAGAGCAGGGGCCAAACCCTGTCACTGAGTTAATAATGGCTGGCGATTCCTTTCAGACATGGCTTTTGTGAGGTCATTTTTTGAGGCTAGTGGTGAAAAGTTTCATAGCCACAGAGCAACATTTGGCAATAAATTAGTTCAGCTTGTTTCCACATGGCCCCAAACCTCCATTTGTTCCATCACGAAAAACAAACTTTCATTTGCTTGAAGCAGGGGAAAATAAATGATATTCCTTCTCACATTTTGACAATTTAATTTTTAGCATGCTCATATGTTAATCTTTAAGAAAACACCACTAGCTACCCTTTCCCCTGTTTGGTTTTAGTCTCTGTGAAGAAAAAAATGCATTCTTTGCTTTTAATGGAAAGAACCACATTTTCTCAAGGCAAAAGTAATAAAGGCGTGCGTGCATGCGCGCGCGCGTGCGCGCACACACACACACACACACACACACACACACACAAAACCATGTGAGTTAACACATTACTGAATGAAGCTGGGGAAAAGGCCTTCCCTAGACTTCCCCAAGTATAAAATAAGTTATTACAGTTTAGATAACAATACTCCTATGACATTTCTTGTTGAAGGAAAGGGTGTGTGACTCAAAGGAGGAATAGGTGACTCAAAGCCCTTTTCCCTTCATGTCACTACATTAAAGGCAAGAACTGACCACCTTTAAGTATAGTATGAAACAAATGTAACTTAACAGTTGTCTATCACTACTCAAAAAACATTCAGTTAGAAAGTTAAACCTACCAAACTCAAAACCTAAACTAGAGTTGTGGGAAATGTTACACAGATATATCCAAATCAAAGCTTTTGGATTAAAGTATGTTGTGGTGCTTGTAGCAGTAATAAATTAATGGCTAATATTTTTTGATTACTTACTATGGAATAGACCCCATTCTCAGTTTTTAAAATACATTTTTTCTTTTTTTGATGTGTTTATTTTTATTTTATGTGTATGTGATGGTTTGCCTGCACATATGCAAGCGCACCACATGTGTGCGCTGCCGGCAGAGGTTAGAAGAGGGTGTCCAACTCCCCTGGAACTGGCATTAGGGATGGGTATAAGCTGCCATGTGGGTGCTGGGAACTGAATTTGGATCTTCTACAAGAGCAGCTGGTGCTTTTAACTGCTGAGTCATCTTTCCAGCTCTTTCAGAGTTTTAATACATGCAGTCATTTAATTCTGTGGGGTAGATAATAGAAACTTCCTTTTAAAGATGAGAACATTGAGACTTAAAGAGCTGATTTATAAAGCTGCACAGGTCACATAGCTTCCTGATACTAAAGTGTATCCTAAACCCTTAGCTCTTGCTTTTTCAGGCTTCCATTTCAGAATACTGCTGTGTTTCCTGCCAGTTATGACCATGGTCAAGTTATTTTCTTATTTTCTTTTTTTGGTCTTTTTGAGACAGGGTCTCCCTGTAGCCCCAGCTGGCCTGGAACTCGATATGTAGACCAGTCTGGCCTCAAACTCACAGAGATCCACCTACCTCTACCTCCCCAGCACTGGGACTAAAGGTGTGCTCTACCATGCCGGGCATCCTGGGTGAGATATTTAATCTCTTTGAGAGCTAGATTTTCTTTCTGGAAATGGGTTGTTCCCACATTTAAGTGAGATATTCTATGTAAAATATAGCACAGTACATGGCAAAAGGAAGTATTTACTAGATTCTAGCTGTCATTAACATACAAACATCAAAGGATCATTAAGAGTTAACTTGATGAGTGCCTACAGGAGAGCTCCCATTCTTTGTTATTTCTAGTATCACCTTTTGGAAATCTCTGGGGAATGCAGCTAGCATAGTAATTATGTCACTCATAGTGAGAGACAGTTGTATTTCTCAAAATAACAATACATAATCCACATAATGCACAGCAGAAATTGAATCCAGATTTGGATTCATGAGAGGAAGACTGATTTTTTTGTCTCTAGTAATGTTTAGTTCATCTTAGTTTTTTTAAAAATTATTTTTATTTTCATTAATTTTGTCCTAATTCTTATAGTTAACAGTTGTAGTAGAGGATAAAAGAGAAACTTATTTTATGTTTTCTGTGCCTTTTTCACACTTCCTGTGTTGGTTATTTCCTCAGAATGCCATCTTCCATGTCCTGCATGGGCCTATGCCTGTCCAGACTAGCTGTCAGAGCAATTCAAATATCACTTTGCTTACGTTTCCTGACAGAGCTTGGAGTGGTTTCAAGATGGGGTGATTTTGCCCTTCAAGGGGACATTAGTAACATCTAAGGACAATTTTGCTTACTATAACTACTTGAGGGTGCTAGAGGCATCTAGTGTAGGTAAAAGGATTATAATGTAGAGCATAGCACCCTACAGTGAAGAATTCTACAGCCCCAAACATCAGTAGTCCCGAGTTTCAGAAAGTGTTCAAAAGGCTCACATCAGTATGACACAGTATTTTCTATCTAAAAACTTATTTGTATATTTTATCATGGAATGTAAGTTATTTATAGTCAGGGATTATGATGGGTAGTTTTAACTGTCAGCTTGATGTAGAGTGAGATGGGAAGAGAGTCTCAATGAGGAATTGTCTAGGTTGGCCTGTGGGCATGTCTGTGGAGAACTGACTTAATTATGTTCATTAATGAGGGAAGACCCAGCCTGAAAGTCAGCAGTACCATTCCTTGGGCTTGGTTCCCGAATTGTTTAAGAGTAGAAGTGGGCTGAGCAGCACCTGCAGGAGCATTCATCTCTCTCTGCTTTTACTGCAGATGTGACCAGCTGCTTCAAGTTCCTGCTGGGACTTCCCTACAGTGATGTCAGCATCCTGGCGTTGTAGGACAAATAAGCTGTTTCTCCCATAAAGTTGCTTTTGTCAGAGTATTTTTAACACAGCAGCAGAAAGGAAACTAGGACAGGGATTCAATCATAATTACCACTAATAGTCAAGATAATTAGCAAATCCTTCATTATACCTATCTATATGAGCTCATTAAATTTGGTTAATTTAATTAGTAATCAACCAGTAACTACCAAAGATAGCAGATGTTAGATAAAAGGATTCAAAGTTTCCTTGAGACATTTGACAAATAAAAAAAATATTATGAAACTTAACTTTTTGGCCTTTAAAACTCAGGTATTGGTCATTATTATTTCTGATTTCCTCTGACTTTCCCAAATGATCCTATAAACCACAACATATAAAAAGGATGTATAAAAATAATCTGTTGGAAAAGATAGAATTCACATATGAATGCATTTAGGATAAGTCTTTAACCATGAAAAACTTGACAATATTGACTAAAAACTCTACTAGCAAAATCAAACCAAAGAGGAAAAGAAAAAGTGAAAACACTTTCAAGACATTAGGCTCCAGGGAAACGTGATCAGGGAAAATAAATGCTCAACATACCAACACTGGTGTTAAATTTAGAGATCACTTTTTTTTTTCTTTTTAAAATAGGATCTCCCTAGAAGAGGGTAGGCATTGTTTTATTTAAAGTGCCTAAAGTATCTGCATTCATGATCATATGTCAGCAGAAATTCAAGCAGGATTTTGTCAAGGGAGAAGATAGAAATTGCCATAATTTTTCTCACCAATGAGCTTTCCAACAAAAGCAAAAAGATATAATGAATACATGATAGCTTTGGTATATCACAGAAATGTTTATTACAGCCAGCAAAGCCTACTGTTATGTTCTATTAATAATTTTATTCCTAAATAAAGAATTTTTTTTTTTTATGTAGGTACTGGGGATCTGAATTCAGGTCCTTATGCTTGCATACTTTACCCACTAAGCCATCTCTCCAACCCTTCAAAATAAATTTTTTAAAGAGCAAACATCTGTGTTAATTTTGGAAGGAACTAGATACAATAGGTAGTTATTTAGTGGATCAAATTTTTGTGGCTTTCAACTTTCTGCAGCAAAAATATAACAATATAACAAATATGAACTTTCAAGTATAGCAGTCTGTTAGGGATGTTTTTGCTGAATTTTATTATGTTCATAAAAATATCACAGCATCAGCAACAATACCATTCATAATTTGCTATAGCCAATAACGTGAACAGTGGGCACAATGAAACTGGAGGAATTTTATGTGAGAAAAGGCAAGGGCTCCAGTATAGAATGATGTTCACCCAAATGAGATCGGCATCTATTTTATTAGTTATTCTGTTTTGAAAGTATACATTTTAGAGTAGTATTTATTAAGTACTGTTATATTACATGAATTAAATACTCACCTAGTAAATCCGAGGCTCTCAAATTCTCTTTTAGAAACACAACAGAAATAATGGCACTACCTGTAAAGAAAATGACCATTAGTAGTTGTTCCAATATAAAACCTCTATTATTGGGGCTGGGGAGATGGCTCAGCAGCTAAAAGCACTGGCTGCTCTTACAGAGGACCTGGGTTTGATTCTGACACCCACATGGCAGCTAGTAATAGTCCATAACTCCAGTTCCAGGGGATCTGACATCCTCTTCTGACCTCTGTGGGCACTGCATGACACAGGTACACTTACACACATGCAGGCAATTCCCTTACATGCATAAAAAAATATAATAAATACAATTTGATAAAAATAAAATAAAACCTCTATTATGCAGTGCCAAAGAAGCTAAACATTTCATGTCTTCTGTCTAACTTGCTGTGTCCTGAGTAGAGACATTCAGCAGTTGTGCCTACAAAAATGATTTTCTTCCACAGTGGATGAAGAAACACAGAAACTGACCAAGGACATTGTGGCTGGGAGAGTGCCTGGTATACAGGAAGGGTTTCACAACAGTTTACTGAATAACTAAATGAATGAGTGGGAAAGAAGGAAGAGTGGGAGAAGAAAGTAGAGAGAAGAAAAGAATCCATAGTAAGAAGATTGTGCAGAAAGGGTGGAAAGGCAGGAGAAGCTAGGAGGAAAGGAAAGATGAAAGAAGTGAAAATATACTCCAAACTAAAGTCTATTCATTCCCAGCATCCTCTCCTATGATCCCCATTCCTGTGACACCTCTATCCACTTAATGATGCCAGCCAGAGTCTGGGATTCCTCCTGGCTCTTTCTCCTCACACAGCACACCCAGCAGATTGCAGGATGGACCCAAGTCTGATTGCAGTGCCTCGTGTCTGCTCTGTCCTCTTCACCTCTCTTGTCACTGCCCCAGCAGGCTGTTTACCTCTGCTTAGACCACCCTAAGAACATCCTTCTGAGCCTCTTATTTCTCCCTCTCTCCCCGCACCACCACCAGAATAACCTTTCTAAAATGCAACTCTTATGTAAATCTGCAGCTTAGAAATCTCTAATGGCTTCTTGTCACCTGCAGGGCAGAGGCCACATTGCTGAATGTGACATTTGGAGACAGCAACAATTCTTCTCCTGTGACTTTCTTCACATTGGCCTTCCATTTCTTTTATATTCTGTGCTTGCCCTTACTGTAATACATAATCATAATTGCCAGAATCCACCATGTGTTTTCATGCTCAATGGCCTCTACATGTGCAACTCTGCCCTGTTCTGGGCTCAATTCTAGACTCAAGATCACCCCTAGACCCAGAGTGACCTGAATACTCTGCTCTTATGTTGGGATGGCCTCTGCATATAGTTTCAAAAAGTTATACCTGATGCTTAACTTTTTTTGTTTTTGCCCAAAAGACCATCAGTTTCTTTTGCTCTTCTAAGAATGACTCATGCTGCTGGTCTCACCGTAGCTGAGCCATGGCTGTTGCTATGCCTCAGAAATAAGTTGGACACCTGAGTTGTCCTTCCTATGGGCTCATTCTTCTGTGAGTTACAGGCATTGGAGAATTCAAAATTGCAATAACAAAAAGAGATGCACAGTGTAATTTGGATTTTTAATTTTTATAAAAAATTACTAGCTGAGCATTTTTTTTAACTTAAAAAATTTATTGAGAATTTCATACATGTATATAAGGTGTTTTGATCGAATCCATGCCCACTTCCTCCCCTCCAATGCCTCCCATATCTCCCCATCACTTTTTTTTCTTCTTTATTTATTTTTATGGGCCTTTTGGCTACTCTAACATTCCCCCCTCTGAAGAGGTAACTCTAAAATCTTTTAAGGACTAGCTGAGCTTTTTAAAAGTAAAATAGAGTGGGGTGTAGTGGCCCACGCCTGTAGTCCCAGCACTTGGGAGGCAGAGGCAGGAGGATCTCTGTGAGTTCAAGGCCAGCCTGGTCTATATAGTGAGTTCCAGGACAGCTGGGGCTACAAGGAGACCCTGTCTCAAAAAGGTTAAAAAAAAATAGTAAAATAGAGGGAAGAATGTTTTCATAAAACAATATAGTCACCTAGAGAAAATTGCAGTTAATATGTTGATGTTTTTATTTCCCTCAGTTGAGATCAAACTATAATACATTTTTTTTCTGTTTCCTCAGTTAACATGTTAAAAGCCATTTGCTATATCATTAAGAATTCCTCATAGAGATAATTTTAATGTCTGTATAATGACCCATTAAGTGGATGCTGCAGTTGTATTTGAATATGACTATGCTTGGTATTCTACTGACTTACTTAAGATGACAATTTTATACCAGAAATCTATAATCTACACGTAAAAAATAAGCTGATACACTCATATGATTTTTCTTCTCTTCTCAATTTTCTCTCTCTCTCTCTCTCTCTCTCTCTCTCTCTCTGAGTTGATCTTTGCCCTTGCAACCTCTTCCTGGGGAGGTTATTTATACGAGTGGAAGTTTCAGACAGAATAAGCTAAGTAGGATAAATGTTCCCAAGCATGTATTTGATTGGGTGGTTTGGCTCTAAAATAGTAAAACAAGACTTTCTGTAGCTAAACAAATGTGTAAGTATACATAGCCTACCAAGTTAAGAATTGAGGTTAGTACAGGTATAAAGATGTATGTAAAATTTCTATTTCAGGATATAAATAATTCAGGGAATCTAACTTCCCATGTTTACAGCATTAGAAAAGGTGTTCAGCCTAAAACCTTCATAAACTGCTCCATCACTGGCTTCTTGTAAAATTAGGCAAAGAATGTTTCCAAGTGGAAAGAGATAGATTGATAAAAACAAGTGAAACATAGCTCTGCTAAAATCTGCCACTGCACCCCATTACAGCCATCTTTGAGATGTTGTACAGCAAAAGATACCAGAAGACGGGAAACACTGCTTCCATGAGGAAAGCATAGAGCCATGGGGGCAAAGAGAGGTCTGCTTCAGGTCCTAACTGCATAAATGGGGAACTGAAGTTTCAAGGGTGTTATATATTTACTCTATGACCCACTCATTTAACAAACACTAGTGTTACAGCTGAGCTAGGGGCATCCACACTTGCTCACCCAGCACAAAGCTCTTTCAGTGCGCTATACTGCTTCTAGAGGTCAGAAAGGACATGATTTTCCTTCTCTTCTTGCTAAGCCACAGCTTCATAAATATTCTTACTTTCATAAGGAAGATGGCGGGAAATGTCATACAGGAAATAATTTCATTGCTTAAGGCAAAAAGGACATGATTGTAACAAAACCCTAAATATATACATGCATTAAGTAATATCAATTGCTATAAATAATTATCAGTTTTGTGAAACAAATATACTTTCCTTCCTTTCTAATGGAATTTAGAATGCTAATGCACTTCTATATCTATCTATATATCCATATTTTTTTGTTTTAAAAGAACATGAGATTTTTTCTCTCTCTCTCTCTGTGTGTGTGTGTGTGTGTGTGTGTGTGTGTGTGTGAGAGAGAGAGAGAGAGAGAGAGAGAGAGAATGTGTTCACACATGCAGTATGTGGTGCTCTTGCCTGTGCATATGGAGATCAGAAGTTGATGTTGGGTGTCTTCCTCTGTCATTCTCTACCTTATTTTTTAAATATTTATTTTATTATTAATTAGGTGTATGCATATGTGTCTGCTGGTGTGGGTATGTGCATGTGAGTGCAGGTGCCTGTAGAGATTACAGGCATCAGACCCCTTGGAGCTGGAGTTATAGGAGGTTGTTAGCTGCCTGGCATGGCTGCTGGGAACTGAGGATCCTTTCTGAGAACAATATGTACTCTTAATTGCTGAAACATCTCTCTACCCCACCACCTTATTTTCTGAGACAGGGTCTCTCATTGAACCTGGAGCTTGTTGTGATTAGCTGGTCAGTGAGTCCCTAGGAACCACCTGTCTCTACCCACCAGAACTGGGGTTACAGATATGAACCATTGTGCTTTTATGTGGGTGCTGGGGACTTGAATTCAAGTCCTCATGGTTGGGCAGCAACCACTTTACTCAGTTAGCCATTTCCCCCAACCCCTTCTACCTAGTTCTTCAATAGACTATTTGTTTACATTTTATTTATCTAATAAAATAAAAAAGAACATTTTACTACGATAAATTTATTTACAACTCATTTATATGCCAAATATGGCTAAAACAGGAGTTGGACAAATTGACAGTAACTGGGCAACGGGTGATAACACAACTTCTAAGTGGAGTAGAAATTTTAAGATGAGAAAAAATGGACCAAAGTATCCCATATATCTTTGTAATCAGAGACCTGTCTAACTTGACACTTTCTAGTTGTTGCTATAACAATAAACACTGTCTAATGAGCAGCTAGGGAAAGGCTGATTACTATATTTTTATTCCTACAGTAAGATTTAACATCCATGGCTCAGCAGTTAAGAGCACTGGCTGCTCTTGCAGAGGACCTGGGTTCGATTCCTAGCACCCACATGGCAGCTAACAACCTTCTATAACTCCAGCTCCAGGGGACTTGATGCCCTCTTCTGACCTCTGCGAGCATTGCATGATACAGGTGCACTTACACACATGTAGGCAATACATTCATACACATAAAAAATAAATATTAAAAAATTAATATCCAAAACTTCAAAGAGCATTTCAAGATCAACAATTTTTTAAAAAGCATCAAAACAGAACATATCTGCAAGGTTGTGCCAGCTACAATTAAATTACAGTTATGAATGATGCTTTACTTCAGCATATACGGTGTCACACTCATTTTTGACTGGAGGCATGTTTGGGCAGAGGATCATCAAGACTGCTTTGCTGTTTGGCCTTCACAAGACACAGAAAATGCTTTCAGGAGCTGGTGTATTATTACTAGGTATCTTTCCAGGAAAAAAAAAAATAGGTGCAAGAAAAACCAGGAGCAAAATACATGCTCCCTAGGCACTGAATAGTGTCAGAGAGTAATAATACCCCACCATTCAGACAGGCGATTTTCCAGGCAAACCTCACTGTTTAAAATCAATGAACTGCTAATCTTGGCAAGTGGGAAATATTTACAGAATCTGACATCCTTTTCACCCAAGCTTATC